ATACTTTAATTAACTTCAATTGATATCCAATAAGCTTTATTAGCCACCATATCTGAGTACGGGCTGTTATAGCATTTTTCCTAAATTATTATTTCGTTGTCAATGCTTTATCAATTCAACCTCTTTGAATTCATTATCAATTTCAAATTGATTTATTCATACATATAAGTCAAGATTGGCATCTAACAATATATCATGATTATCCAAATGTTGAAAAGAGTCATAATAGTTTGACTTTACCAACTAGTGTATAATCTCACCGTGCAATTAATATTTCTTTATTAATCTAATGTCTGAACAAGACATAAAACATGGCTTTGTGTTTACTCTATATTTTCTATACCATGTTAGCATTTGATAGTTGTAATCAACTCTTTTAATGAGATTTGGAAAAGTCCTCATCTAAATCCTTAATCTGCATTGGTTAAGGACTCCCTTAAGTTATTACATATCAAGATGCACTAGGATATTTCTCCTAGTATCATTTAAGGTGATGAATCTGCTATTAGTCATTCATTTACCTTTATATGTTCCATGCTATATATATATAAAAATCTAATGTCCATCTTATTATCCTTATTTGATGACTTAAGATAGTATCAAAATATAGCAATTCTCATACAAGGTAATTTGATGATCTCAAGTCTAAGAATTACTTACACAACCATCACATAATTAGCATTTATTCCATAGATACTTGAGTGACATACTAAATGGAATTCTCAATGTGGGTCATGTTCAATGAATTTGTTCATATAAATAGCACTCACAAGTTAGCTCAAGCATCCCCATATTGATTTCAATTTATGGTATGGATTGCTTATTTCATAAGTTAGGAACATAACCATGTGTTGGCCTCTTAGTTTTATCAATATTCAATCTTGATAAAGCATTGACATGGAACATATAGGAATAATGTTTTGATAAAATAAAGATCTCACAATTATAACATTGTTAGCTTTATAGGTTTCAAATTGATCGTATGTTTTAAAATGACAAGGACAAATGATCAAAATTCTTTTTAAGAGTTTTTGAACAAGTCTAAAGTTCCCTTGATGCATTTAAACAAATGACTAAGTGTTTGAAAAATATAAAACACCTTAAAAAGACTTTCAAAATGGTTTCTGGGTAGAATCTACTAATACATATTTAACATGTATCAATACATTTGTCCAATTATTGATACATTTGTCTAAGTATTGATAAAAATGGAAATATATCGATACTTGTTCTTTAGAAATTCAAAATTTCAAAAGTCAAACTTCATGAATCTAAACATTGTCAAACTATATCAATGGATTTTCAACATGTTAGCTTTAACAATTGACCTTAAGTTTTGAAATGACTTAAACAAATGACTAGAATTGCAAAAACATATTCATCAAATATATTCTGAGTCTCCATGAACTTTGAAGTAAGATGGCTAAGTGTTTGGAAAAGTTTAAATGCTAATTAATTGGCTCAAAATCAACACTATTAAGTCATGAGCATCAATACCTCATAAAGAAGTATTGATACATTTTGAATAAAGAGCATTCTATTTAAAAAGTATCAATACCTTGTGACAAAGTATTGATATATTTTGAACAGAAACCATTCTGTCTAAAAACTATTGATACTCAAAAGCAACATATTGATATCTCATTCATATTATGCATCATGTATCGATACCAACCTTCAAGTCTTGAAACCTTGCTACCTGAGTCATAGATTAAGAGTCAACTACCAAAGTTATCGACACCTAGAAGAAAAGTCTCGATACATTTCAAACAGAAATCATTCTTACTTGAAAGTATCGATATCCCAATAAGAAGTATTGATACCCAGGAAGCCCAGGAGACAAAGTATCGATACTTCAAGATAGATAAATGCAAACAAAAACACAAATAATGACTATTTTTTGTACAAATTAACTTGAATGGCTCCTAAGGACTTCCAAACTATAAATACAAGTTTTCAACTTGATTTGATAGATTAAAAGGTGCTAAAAAGTTCTTTTGAGCAGAGAACAAGAATCATCCTCAAAATCATTAAATTCTCTCTCTCACTTTTATATCTTCTCATTCTATTAGTGATTGAGCTTTGACATTCATTATTTTTTTGTGATACCTCTTGTACTCACTGAAACTATCAACCTTCTAAAGGCATTAGAGCTTTCATGTCTTCACTCTTGTATTGAATTAAAAGGTTCTACCTTAACCTTCAAAAGGCATTATTGTTTTGTTATACCTTAACCACAAAAAAGGTAAAAAGGTTGAGTTTTAGCCTTTTGTAAAGACTAGTGTAAAGATTGTGCTTAATCCTCAAAAGCCATTAGATATAGTGGATAAAAAACTCCTTAGTGATCTAAGGGAAAGAACATAGACAAAAGACCGAACCTTTATAAAACAATTGTGTCTAGCTTTTCTACCTTCTATTTGCATTTGTTTTCATAGAGCAAACTTCTTTGAAAGTGTTTTATTCTTTGCAAAAGTTTTTAAAGAAAAAGGTTTTTCATCAAAGCAAAGCTTTTTAAGTATTGATAGATTATCACAAGTTTTCAAATTTAATGCAGCTAATGTATTGATATATTTTAAAATTTATGGATATAATGTGATTGTTGGAGCATAAAATTGACAACAAAATGGCTATTCTTGTATTTAATGCTCCTCCAACTACCTCCAAAGGCTTCAACACTATAAATACTAGCTTCCACCTCATTAATGAAGATAAGAAGACTCTAAAACACAACTTCAAGAGAGGATTAAAGCTTCAATCATTTATTTTATTTCTTTCTTCTCTAGCATTTAAAATTTTCAAGTGTAGCATTTGTTTGAGATGAATATTCATCTTTCTACACTCATTTATCCTTGAAAAGGTTTTATGAAGGTTGTTCTTGAATCTCAAAAGACATATTTCATAATAGATTTCAAACTCCTTAGCAAGCTAAGGGAGATGACGTAGGTTAGAGGCCAAACTTATATAAAACAATCGTGCAAGCTCTTCTTACTCTACTTGAAATTCTCACTTCTATTTCAAATTCAATTTTCACAAGAACTTTGTGCAAAACTTTATTGATTTTCAAAGTTTGAAAGAGTTTTTAAAGTCTATTAATATCAAACTTTTTCAATCTTGCAAAAGGTTTCAAAGATTGCAATTCACCCTCTCTTGGAATTTCACTATTATTTGAGCTCATTTAACTAACAAACACTTTGCAATTCCTTTTGCTAAGCATATCTTATTCTGTGAACTTTATCTTATTAGTTAATGATAACAATTATAAACATAAAGATAAAAAAAGTTTCTATTAATTAATGTAATGCTTAAATTAACCCAATGTATTTCTAAACCGAATCGATTGACTTATAGGAATAACATTATCACTATCAATATTGAGTAAAAATGTCCTTTTTTGTCGATAAAAAGTTTTCAATATTCGTACATTTATATAAATTCTCGATTATAGATAGATAAATACAAAAAGAAGCACTACAATTGAAACTTGAAATCTCTATCTAAATCTCACCCTACATTCATTGCTTGACTCTTAGTCCTACTTTGAGTGTTTTAACTTTACCTTTTGTCTGTTGATGTGCATAACAATGTCACTTAAGCTTTAATTGATAAATATGCTTAAGTCACCAAAATCATGTGTAAACCCTATATATATATATATATATATATATATATTATATATATATAAAGAGGGATCAAGTTACATCGGTATAAAACCAATTAGTTTTACACTTTTGTATAACTTCATCTACATTTAATGTTTTAACAAATGGACCATTAGATTTAACAACCTATTTGTGTCCATTATACATGGAAAGTTTCACAACAATCCTATGTCTCTATCATATTGATCTAGAAGGTTTTTTTTTTCATATATTTTTAATTGTCAAAATTCTATTGTATTAAACAGATAGATATTTTTAATTCGTTCAAAATTTACATGCATGATTTACGTAAATAAAATATGAAATTTAACAATTAGATTAATAAAATTAAATATAAATAAACCGTATAAAAGATGTGCAAAGATGTAAAACTGAAATAGTTTTGCACTGATGTAAACGGATTCTTCGTCTATATATATATATTCTTTTTTTTAGGTGTGGCAGCTGATTAATTTCAATAAAAAAGAAAGAGTTTATTACGACTTATTCACGTGCAACATGGCAAAGTCTGGTGCAGAAAGGTGAAAAATGAAAAAAGAACTTAGGTTTTGCAGCCCTACAAGGCTAGAAATTAATACAACGTCATTGTTGAGTGGCATGCTTCAAAAAATGGGGCAAAAAAGGGCTCTCTGGCAACCTCAAAAAATGGGTTTAACGGTTTTGTCCCTCCCTTGCACCGAAAGGCATTTGAGGGAGGATTATCAGGTTCAAGCCTTCAAACTTAATTGTCGCAAGAGGCTGATGTTATGATCAATGACACGGCTTAGAAAGTTAGGAATGTAATGCAGTTGGTGAATAGTAGATAACCAGATCCTTCTTCAACTAGCACCTACAGCTGTAAACATATTAATTGAAAGAACTCACCCTAAAAAGCTATTGTTACCACTTACATTGCTATGAATTCATCCATTAAATCCCTCATCTCGGTCGACCAGCCGACATAATTCCTTTTATTGCCTGTCTGCATTTTTCCTTTTGCTTGTTTTACTGCTTAATATTAATTTCAGAGAAAAAAAACACAATAAAACTTGCTTTAGGAACTGCTCATAATTTGTCAACAATTGTTCGAACTGCTCAAAATTCGTAATTAAATTTGACAGTGGTTAGATGATAATACTACTTTTAGCTCTTTGCTATTCAATTTACTTGGCTTTCCTTTTTTTTTTTCCAGCATAATCTAATTAAACTATCAAACTTGAAATCATTCAGAGAGCAAAGCCTCAAAAGAAAATATTAGAGGCACCAAAACCTAGCGGTCACATTTAACTACATTGAATTTTCGCAACTGTCTCCCATAAGGCATTTTCCACTATAAAAGGAGACTCCCAACAGATGAATTAAGCACCAAGCAAAACATACAAAGTAAGAGATTCATAGAGAGTTTTGCTACATATAATTAAAGTGATGGCAAAGTGGAGTGCTGTGCTTGTTCTTGCTCTAGTAGTGGTTCAGGCTAGCGCAAGGAATGTGCCTAATGATTCTGGTCTCAATGACCAAAAGAACTTCCTCACGTATGGTGGCGTTGGAGGCTACTCTGGGATTGGAGCAAACGGAATGCCTATTGGAGGAGTTGGGAGTGTTGGCGGTATCACTGGCCCCGATGGCACAGGTGGAGTAGGAGGCTTAGTTGGCGTCGGATTTGGAGGTGGTCCTCATGGTGCCGCTGCTGCCGGAGCTGGAGGTGGTGCTGGTGGTGGGAGTGGGACCGGTGTCATCCATTTTCCTTGAATTGATCGGTTTGAATAATTTACCATAATTAGTTTAACTTAGTTTCAGAGTAGTATAGCTGCTCAAGAGTGTGCGGTAGTCTAAGTAATGTTTGTTTTGTCGCAGACGTTGCGTCCTTTCGTTATGTTTTGGCTTGTGCTTTTGCTCTGTAATTCGTCGTTGTTCTCCTTTTGTAGTAGACATTTTACGCAAATAAATTAATTTCGGCCAGATGCACACTGGCAATTACTTAAATCTAGTACTATATTATAAATAGATAATATATAGTTACATAAGGCTGATATTTTTATTTTTTATTTTTTTCTGTAAAAACAAATTTAAAACAAAACAATGAATAAAGCATAAATAACAAAAACTAAAATTATTAATGGGGGCTAAATAACATGCATACATGCTTAGAAAGAAGTCTGTCATCGATGGGTATCATCTAGCTACCTGTTAAACTTTGTTTGAGTTTTGAAAGACAATTCACATACAAGAAGGAAATTGGCAAATTAAATTATAGTTAAAAAAGGGAAACTGGAACAAAAAAAAAACAGAAACTAAGTAACTGATCAGTTTGCGACCTTGAAAGGTAGACCTTGCCGTCGATTTATCCTGTAATGTGGATGGATAGTAATTTGTAAAGTTGTGGTACACAATTATTGTTGAAATATTCAAATGAAATTATATTTAATATCGAGATTAACAAACAAATAAATTGCATAAGAAATAATATTTGATATGGTTCAGCACACATTATTTACATATTACAAAAAAAAAATTATTATAAATGTACGTATTATAAAGAGTATAAAACACGCAAAAACAAACATTAAACCCAAATCTTGAAACAAAACCTAGTTCCATGCCCCCTAATGTTTAAACTCAAGGAATTCCTTCTGTTTAATAAACCCAGTGTTTCTCATTGAATTCCTTCTATCCCGTATAATCTTTGTGTTTACCCCACGGTGACGGCTATAGGAAAGCTAACTTTACTGTAATGTCAAATAATATAATTAAAAGAAAATAATAAAAACCTATTAGACAAGTTAACAAATAAGAAGAGGGGGGGGGGGGGGGGGGGGGGGGGGGGGGGGGGGGGGGGGGGGGTGGGGGGGGGGTTTGGGTTCTTGGTGGGGATGGACACAGGATTAACTTTTGGCATGACTAAGGGATTGGTGAGGTTATATATTAAAAGAATGACACGAATTGGCAAAATATGGGGAACGGGAAAACTAGCGGTAATTGCACAACTAACTCTCATTGTAGAAGCATATTAGAGGCCACGAATAGTTCGGCTAGCTTATGGGGACATCTTTGGCAAGGCCTTGCCCCTCTTGAGACATAAACCTTTTGTTGGCTTCTAAGCTAAAATTGCTGTTTGTTAAACACTTATAAGAAGAGGTCTCCTTAGATATGATGTTGCTTGTTGTCTTTTATGCAAGAAAGAATGTGAATCAATTGGCCACTTTTTCTTTTGTTGTTCTAAGACTTAGGATGTGATAATGTATGAGTCTTGAAATTTAGCCATTTAACGTAAATAGAGTCGTCATTAATTTTTTCGTTTAGTACAATTAACCACCTAGTTGAATCTATTTTTCCTAATGAGATTTTAGGTTTGACTTAGATTCATTAAAAAATTAGATTCCAATCTACAAAATAGATTTTGTTCGGAAGTCCAATAACGTGTGAAGAAGAAATTAACACCCTACAATGTCCATTCAAAAGGGCATCTCATTAATTATTTGCTTTTTTAGCCTTAATTAAAAAATTTTGTTTCCATATCCTAATTTATTTCCCTTAACTATTTCTTCAATTTACTATCATTTTAAAATAAATAAAATTTCTTTTAATGCTTTTGATAAAATCTAAAAAGATCTTCTCACCTAAAAATTTTCAAGAAAGTTAACCCTAATAACATTCTCAAAATTCCATAATCGAAGGATTTCCATTTATTTTATATTAAACATTAATTATTATATTTACAAAATCGAAATTCTTTATTTATCTATGTTCTTCTTAATTATTTATAAATAAACCTTTCCGGTAAAAATATTTATGAGATTAACCCCAACCCTTATGGTAAGATCCCATAATTATTTTTACTCTGAAAAATTTAAGAAGAATTGCCCCTTGCAACTTCCCTTAAAAATTCCATTGAAAAGATTTATTTTTAAATAATTTCAAATCTTTATTATTTTTTATTTTGTAATTTTATTCTAGCAATTAGGGTTGTAAGAATTTTATCCTAATCTACTTATGATCTAAAACAAAATTTAATTTTTATTATATTTATGTATTTTCATTAATACCAAGAATAAAATAAATAAACAAACATAAATATAAATAAATAAAAGGAGTAACTTGATGGTTCAAGCACGAATCTAGTAGGTGGATCAACAATTAAATGGGAGAGGGCCTAGTCAAATGCAACCCATAATCAAGTAATCTAAGGATCCAAGTAAAGCGGGCTTGAACAAACAACCAATCAAATAACCCAACAAAGCAAGCCTGGATAAGTTAGCCCACAACAAACAAACCCAAGGCCGAACAATTTGTTTCAATTAACATGATGCCGTTTTGGTAAACTATTTAATTTTCTTTTGTCCCTCTCAAACAACGCCATTTCTTCTAAGAAAATTCCTTCCTTGATTTCCAAACCCTAGCTCAGGTCTTTTCCTTCTTTTTTCTTTCTTCATATCACCGTTCTTCCTCTCGCTTTAGAATTTCTTCCTTTTTCTCTAGATTCCAACTATTGGAATCTCTCCAGCTACCACACCCTCTGCCGCCGGTCGTCATTCACCAGTGATAGAATTTCACTAACATTCAGCCACAAAATCCTTTCAAGCCGATCTTTCTTTTAATTGGACTCATTTTCTCTAAATCTACCATGAAATTCGTAGATCTAAATCCAAAAATTTCAACACCCAAAAACCTAAGAATACTCTTTTTTGCTAATTTCTCTTGTGTGATTTTTCTTTTTTCTCTTTGTGTCTATTTTTACGTTTTTTGGGGTTTTAATAAGTCTTTTCTTAGAATCTTGAGTTAATTGCAAATCTTTGAATTTATTTTTCTTAACTTTATTTTATTTCGTTTAAGGATTTTTTGGTATAAAATCTTCAAATTTGTGGAAAGATTTTGGAGATTCTATTGATCTTTTCCTTTTTTGATTGATCCCTTTTCCTTTTAATCGTCTTTTCCATTTTGTTCTTTCCAATTTTTCTAACTTTGATTTACTTTCCCTATCTTTGGTTGTATTCTTTGCCCTATTTTTATTGTTTGTGGGCTTGCTAGCCAAGACGGTTACTTCGTTAGGTTTCTATTTGAGTTATGAACCCATCATTCCTAAGACCAAAAGACCGAATCAAAATAAAAAAGGAAAGTAGATAAAAATAAAATAAAGTAAATAAAACATTAGTTGTAACTCTCAGATAAAAATGGTGTCTATAACTGTTTCTTTTTGTATATTTTTTGAAACTTGTAATTGCATAAAGATATGCAGACAATCATTTTTGTTTAAAATAGCGGTAAAAGAGCTAACAACTCCACCATCATAAAAATTCCTCTATTGACGGTTCAAAATTTTTTGCAACTCTTCAAATGAGGCTTTAACTTTGAAAATGAAAAAAAAACTCTTCCATTAAGGCGTCAAACTTCAAAAAGAATGAGAATTCCTCTACCAAGTCTTTAAAACTTTTACAGTTCCTCCATCGAGTTTCTAAAACTTTTAAGTCTCCTTCACTAAGGCTCCAAATATAAACTCATCCATGGAGGAGGCTTCAAAATCTTAAGAATTCCTCCACCGAGAATCTTATATCTTAAGAATTCCTCGACTAAGGTTCTAATATTTTAAGAACTCCTTCACCAAGATTCTAATAGCTTAAGAATTCCATCATTGAGAATTTAATATCTTAAGAATCCTTTCATCGAGGGTCCAATATCTTAAGTATCCCTCTACTAAGGATCCAATGTCTTAAGAATTACTCCCTCGAGGATCTAATATCTTAAGAATTCCTCCATCGGGCTTTCAATATCTAAAGGATTCTTCCACCCAGGTTCCAAACTTCAAAAGAACTCCTCCACCAAGGTTCCAAACTTTAAATAAAACTCCTCCATCGAGGCCTCAAAACTTTAAAAAGGAAATATAATTTTCTAAATACATATGATGCAAATTGCTATCTTGATATCTAAATGCTTAACTTCTAGGATGATATCATGCATCCATGTTTATGGTATTTCAAAGGATTTAGAATTTCAAGATTTTCAACCTCTTATCATTCGTCTTGTGATTTAGATCAAATTTCAGCCTTGTACCATTTGATTAACTAGTTCTCTTAAGAATAACTCATTTATTTTTAATACCTCTATTCCATTTTGTCAATTTAAAAATTTTGAAAATACTTTTGGATTCAATTTGAACTTTCTTTATCACCCTTAAATCCTATTCAAAGCAATATAATATTTTTTCATATTTGTTATGATTTAGTTATTCATTGTCATTTAAAATTTCATGACAAATATGATGTGTTGCATATTTTCTTGGTTTGTGAGAAAGTAAAGAAATAAAAAAGGAAGATATCATTGAAGGCATGATTTTCATTGGGTGTAATGGAGAAAAAGTCAAAATTCTAAAAAAGGATACAATATCCAAGTAATGAATATTTGAACAATTATGAACAAATTGAATCCGAATATCTTTCGAAGCAAAAACATTTGTTGATTTACTTGGTTCCTTTTGAACATTTCCAATCAACCCTTACCTTTGTTTTGTTTTGGCATTTTCACATCTTGCCCCAGACTATGCATCTTTGTATTCAACCCTCCTTTTTAGGTTTTCAACTTGCACACATCTTTGGCTTTAAACTGTACTTTTTGAGTTATCATTTTAAATCCTTCTCTCTCTCTCTCTTTTATTGTTCCATCATGCACTTGGTGAACTTGAAAACTTTTCTGAAATGGATTGGTGGATCCAAAAGTTAACTTGAACAAGAAAAAGAGGCCAAAACCTCGACAACTTTTCCTAAGAGAAAGCTTTTCAATATAAGCATTCATGCTTAATCGAAGTGGACTTCTTTAAGCACGTAATGTTGACCAAGGTTAAGGGTTTTGAAAGAATGGATAAATAGGCCTAAAATATGGATTTAAGAATATTCAAACCAAGGATCATTTATTATCTCTTGAAAGATTTTCTCTAGCATGCTTTTCCATCATCTTGTGTTTTTTCATTTTCTCTTTTATCACATTTCATAGTT